GGGAGGGGGAGGGAGGGAACCCCCGGCTGCCGCGTCCCGGTTCCGCCTGTGCCTCATCGCCCCCGCGGTGGCAGCCGGGGCGGCCCTCGGGGCATGGGGAAAGTGGGTCGCGATGTGGGCACGGATGCGGAACCTCCGGCGCTGCTCCCTGCGACTCCTGTTAGTGCAGGGACCCCTGGACCCCCTCCTTGCAGGCTCCATTGCGATGCAAGCACCAAGGGACTGGTTTGGGGGGGCTCGGCCTTTCAGGGCTCCTTGCAGCCCCCCAGACACCTTGTGCTCCGGCACTGTCTGCATTATGGGGGCCAGGCCAGGGCTGAGAGGAAAAGCTTTAATGTGGGGCTTAGTGTGGAAATTCCCAGGGGCTGGAGCAAGCAGACGCAGCCGGGACAAATGAGACAGCTCGTTAAGGAGAGGAGCTAACGAGGCAGGTGAGGCCCCCCTGGCATTAGCTTTGTGTTTCGGTGCAGGGCTCCAGAGATGTTTTGGGAGCAGCGTCGCTGTGCTGGGCGGGATGCGGGCAGAGCCTCCCTCTCTCCTGCAAGCCTTACTGGAAAGCTCATCCCACCAAAAAGCAGCCCGTGCGCTGCTTGGGTTTTGCGTTTTGGCACAAAAAGTGCCATGCAGCCTGCGCTGGCTTTGCTTGGTCATGCTGCTCACAGAGCAGGTGATCTGTGTCCTTGGGGACCTTGGAGGCTGCTGTTGAGGCCAGGCCTGAGCTGTGGCTGCCACTTCAGCCTGTGCTCTTGGAGTTAAATTTAGCTGCAAGGACTTGCCGGCCTCCTGGGAGGCCAGGCAAAAAGGAGGCAAAGAAATGCTAGTGAAAAGCTCCTTTTCTTGTCATGCGAGTGAGGGCTTGGCCTCCGCAGCCCCTTCCTAGGGAGGACAGGTAGCCTGGCATGGAGGGACTGCAGGGGGTTTATAACTCTGGAGAGTTTCCCTGAGCCAGTTATCCTTGGAGCCATTTGCAGGTGGTTTTGGGGTGATGCTGAGCTTGTTGGATACCTCTGTGTGAAGCAAGGGCTGTTGTGCAGGACATGTTTCTGTGTTATCCATGGGCTCCTGAGCTATTCTGAGGCCTGCAGTGGTGGCAGGAGGCTCTGCTCCCCCTGCAGCCCCTCTGTGTCCTGCCTGGCCAATCCTCACCCCAAATGCCAGGCTTGGGAGCTCCCCGGTCCTTGTCACCTGTGGGCAGAGGGTGAAAAGCAGCTGGGGCTGGAGTTGCTATGTGGTGCAAACGGGCACCGCGGCACCAAGGACACAGCGTGTCCGCAGCAACAGGGGCTTCCCCCGGGACTCCCAGACCTAATTATCTGGCTGTGCTCTTGGGGCAGCGTTTTCCAACTAAATCTTGCTGCTGAGCGCCCGCTGAGGTTAATCTGGCAGCATTGGCTCACGGGAAGCGTAGGGAAGGGGACGGGTGCGGGGACAAGGAGATGGGGCCTGGCCCA